AATCAGTGAGATGAGAGCCAGAGTTATATTTACATCTGGGCTTATGGTGCCTATGAAGGGGGTCCAACCCCAAATGATTCAATGAATGTTCCTCTGGAATTCCTTGTATTTATGTCTGGACAGAACTGTTTTTTTAATTCTGAGTTTTGACATTTGTTAATCTAATGGAAATCTGAGTGTCTGATCTTCTGTAACTTCAGATGAAACCCAAACTGTAATAGAATCTAGCCCCAAATCTCTCTTCTCATAGATAATTTAGAGGCATTCTTTTTGGTGTTATCATGACACATTATTCCAAAGACGTGTCAAGCAGTTAAAAACGTTGGCTCAATTTTTTTATAATTACTTTGGAAAAATATCCTCTCATCCAAAGTACTCGTAAAAAGTGTAATTTCCAAAGGACAAGGTAGTTCTTGTATATGTACATTCTGTAAGAATGACTAGGGCACAAGGCATGATATTTTCAGTGAGTGCATTCTTTCTATCCACTGGAGACAGAAAGACTCAAACTTGAAGACAGCACTGAAGAAGTGTCATTGGTCTTCATGAAACAACAGATTAGCTCCATCTTTCCTCACACTAAACAGATGGTGACTAAGACATCAGAAAGACGAAGAAGTGGTCAATGCTTCTTGGTCTGGTTTCCAAGTTTAAAAAGAGCAGAATGAGCAAGGCACTTTTTTGAACCACAAAAGGGGAAGGGCAAGAAGAATGTAATAATGCCAACACTTTCTAATGACTTCATGAACAAGAAGTTTCGGTGATTATAAAATACAGTTTTGTATCACATCATCACATGACTTCTTTCATTCTTTGGTCTGTATCTTTTTCCTTCTTGGGCCTGTCTTTTCCTGCTGTCATTCCTTTCTTGTGCTTTTTTTCTCCTATCTGCCACCAATAAAATTCTCTAATGCCTTTCTTAAAACTCATTTCTATTTGCCATGTTCAAACTAAAACTATTTGGCACTCCACCTCAAAAAGGCATACTTTTGTGAAATATTATGCCATAAAGAGGAAAAATTATTTCAAATACTGTAACTTGTCAATCAACACACTATTTAAACAAAAAGACAATTTCTGTCTCTGTTGCTGTGGCTGTTTTGGGCCTACAGATTTCTAATACTCTTGGCAATTGCTTTTTGGGTACATCATTTCACTAATGATTTACAAATTTGTAAAGATCCTCATTATAATATGTATATCAGACATTCCCAAACTAGTAAAGTAGCTGGTAAGAAACCATGAGAACTGATCCAAAGGATATGTTGGGTGAATATTTCCATACACTAAACAAATGGCTTGAAGTGACCAAAGAAAGATCAGAAAAACTGTTTTTAAGGTGTTACCTACCTTTTCAATTAAGTTTTCTGATCTTTTTTTTAATAAACATGGGAATACTTTTAACATTAGAGGAAGAAACATTTTTATCATTTCCCCAATCATGTCCCAAATGAAGTCAGCTACATAAATGTAGTATCTGCTTAAAATATTAAGCAAGAAGAAAACAATATGAAAGACTCTCCCCTTCTGATTTTGAAAGAACACTGTAATTTATAAAAACTTTCCAGGGGATGTGCACTAGAAATGGGAAAGGAAAAGGCAAAACGAGAAAGACATAAATTCATGATGACTTTTCCATTTTTCCTGCAAGGAGTTTAAATTGATTTTGGGAGGTAGAATGTTAAAATCTACCACACTGAACTTTTCTTGAGCTTCCCTATGAAAACTGAATTTGGCCCACAGTCAGCTGAGGCTTGAATTAATATTAGTAAGGTGGCTACTCTTTGCACAAAAGGGTCCATTGATAGCTTTAGGGTCTTTTGTCTCCTTCTGAATCAAATGTCCATTTTATTTCAAGCCATTTGCTTTGGATAAGGATGGTAAAAGGCAGCAATTGAAACATCAACAACAAAAAGGCTGAGATGATCACCACAGGCAATGGGGGTAATTGCAAAGAAAAGAAATGCAAACCAAAGCAATAACTTACTGTAGCTACTTTCGCTATCGCTGGCATTAGAAGAAACATGTTCTGCAAGAACAGCACAGCAAATTAAAAAAAATACCAAGCATTGAAGAGCAGCCAGAACGGAAAGGAATACACCCATGCAAGGCTACTAGAAATGTGAGCAAAAGCGAGTCAAAGGCTGCAGAAGAGATTGCATTAAGAAAATTCAGATAAGATAAAGATGAAAACTTTATCACCATTAAACCAGAAACTGTAGTAGAGTTCTGTTTCTTCCTTGTAGCGAATAAGTGGTGAGTAGTGCCACTCAACACTTTTATGTAATTTTCCTTTTTGAACTTTTATTACCCATTCATCCAGCTCTGGTTTTCCTGATTCTTGTTACAAAGGCCAGTGTGTCTCTAACTAAATGTTTTTTTGAGGCTGAATTGTGGAGCTTATGGTGTGTTGGTACTATTTTCTTGCAGGCTTTTATGCTTTCTCGATTTTAGTCTTTATTTTGTAGGAACATTGATTTCAAATTGTTAATTGGCCCTGAGAACCCCTTGGATTTTTATTTAAATACTTCACAGATTCTCAGGATAAAATGGGATTCTTGAAGTTCTTTCCTATCTCAGTGAGAGTAGAAAATCACAGAAGGAGAAATGAGTCATGAGCCAGTCATGTTTTTATATATTGAGATCTTTGCTTAGATAGCTATTAGATCCTGAGGGAATGGAATAGACAGGAGAGAAAGGCATGGAGCAAGTTTTTAAAATTCATTCTGAGTAACTTGCTTGTTTAGTGACATTCCAAATTATTTTTTATACAGCCGCTTACTGAAACATGGATGTGTGCGCTGGTTATATACCAGACTTAGGGTTTATTTCCAAAGTCACCTGAACTACTGAAGTCATAGATGATAAACTAACTCAATCACCTTCTTCACATATTACTTTAGTAAAATAAAGGTACATGGGACTGATTTCTGAAGGTCACTGGCAAAGACTTCAATTTGTCAAAATACAATTTCTATTATTATTATTTGGACAGTCCTGGCGCTTGAACTCAGTGCTCGGGCACTGAGTCCCTGGGCTTCTTTTTGCTAAAGGCTAGCTCTCTGCCCCTTGAGCCACAGTGCCACTTCCGGCTTTTTCTGTTTACATGGTACTGAGGACTTGAACCCAGGGCTTCATGCATGCTCGGCAAGTACTCTACCACTAAGCCACATTCTCTGTCCCAAAATACAATTCATATGTACTTTTTAAGAAAAAGATAGACATAACATTATTCCCTAACAGAAAGAAAATGCTTTGGCATTATGCGTTCTCATCAGCTGAGTGTTTTCAAGCATAAAACCAATGAAACAAAAGCCTGAGTTAAATTCACCCAAAACATTTTCCTTTCTGCAGGTCTAGAGCCAGAACTGCACTGCTAATTTGAGTAGCAGGAGAAAGCATGTTGATGAATCTGTGCATGGCTGCTTTTTTGTCATGAGAAAGATGGTTGAGGCAATGGAACTAATGCCAGTGCATCTCATGGGCAAAATCATCTTATGTACATTGAATTGGGGATAATTTGCTGCCTCTTTTTCACTTTTATTAAATCTTCTGTTTTTGTTTTTAGTGATAATGAGGTTTGAACTCAGGGACTTGAACAATGCCTTTAGCCTACTTTTTGCTGGTTATTTTAGAGCTAGAGTCTATGACTTTTCTGCCTGAGTTGTCTCTGAACTCATAATTCTCTGTATCTCAGCTTCCTGAATAACTAGGATTATGGTATTAAAATGCTTTTTCCTTTTCAACTTGAAAATTTACAAAATTTCCCTGGTGATGCTTGATGTCAGGTAGATCGCAAATTAGTATTTAAATTTCAGCCACAAGAATAATTTCATATCACATTCTATCCAATGACTCAAAGATAAAGTTTTCATCTTTAAGGAGACCAGTACTCAGCATCAGATTTTGTTTCCTATGTATATATATATATATGTAAAAAACCACTTCAAATCTATAACTTGAATTATGAAAGGTGTCATCACACAAGTTTAAATAAATAGCCCTTGAAAATGAAGTCCAGCTCAATGCTATTATGAAATGAACAGCTTTTAAAAGATTGCCCAGAGCTGTTAAAGTAAAACAAAATTGAACACATGATACAGTTGTAAGAGTCTGTTCAAGATTCGGTTCTGATTCCATTGATGCCTACACAATGGGATTAGTGTTAAAGAATATGAAATCAAAGCACAGGATATTGATATATAGGCTCAGTAGTTTTAATTGCCAAGTGCAATGAGATACAGACCAAAGACTTGAATAACTAGAAAATGTAAAAGTCTATTAGAGTCTTCATTCTATCCTACAAAATGCAGACCTGATAACGTATTGCAGCTAATAAATCACTGACAGCAAAAGATACTACTACATATTGAAAACTTTATCATACAAACGGTTCAAGGAGGATCACTGCAAGTCAGAGAAAAAAGATCAATCAAGTTAATAAGAAAGAATTATTCATGAAGGATCAAATGACTTAATTTTTCAGAATGCATGTTCCTTTTGATTAAATTATAAAATGGCTTCTATATTAATAGCAAAGTACAACTTGATTATGGAATTTGGCAAGGTCATTAAATATTTCCATGTTGAAAAGGCAGCAGAAAGCACATAAAGAATATTGCCACTTTGCTGTTCTAGAACATTCAGCTCACCCTTTCTTTCAACATGGCTTCTTGCTCTCTGGGAGCAGTTAGGCAGTAGAGCAAGCGGTGCCGCCTGGGCATCGGGCCCATGTTGGCCACCTCATGTGGTCAGAAAGGGAAGGTGTGAACTGCAACACAGGTTAGAGTGCCTGACACACTTCGCTTTTAAATGCTGACATGCAGAACAAAACGAGTGAAAATTACTTTGTAGGAGCATTCACAGCTAGGTAACAAATAAAACTTGTATCTTGTGCATGCTAGGAGTGAAAGGCCCTCAGGAAAAGGGACAAAAGCCAAACTCAAAAGGAAAGGAAAAGAAAAAAAGAAAAGTTACAGTGACCATTCCTGGAAACTTACTCAGAGTCTTTGTTCCATAACCGTCGTCACCTAATCCGGGGATGTCCTGCATGGAAGTCCCCAGAGAGAGCAATGAGAGAGGAAGAACAGCCACGGGAGAGGAAGGAAGAAGTCAGTGGAGTTGAAATGGATACTACCATGACAGACCGTGTTGCCCGGACAATCTGGATCCCACTGGCTCTTTTGGAAAAGGATTTTTACCCCCAATTCCCTGGGCTGAGACTTAAAAAATAGGTCTAATTTGGGGAATCAACTTGAAAGGTTCAATTAAAGCAAAAAAAGGAGAAAAAAAGAGAAAGAAAACATGATTTGCTAAGTTCCTTTTATCTTTGTTGCCACTGACCTGTCTCACTTAGGAGAATAATCTCCTCCCAAATTTTGTATCCAAATCAGGAGATTTAGTATTTATCAGTATCGGCTTACTGCTCGGCAAGTATTTGATGTTTATTGGGAGCAAAAGAACCAGCAAAGGTGCTGGTAAACAAGGAAGGCCATCTAATTGCTCCTAATTAGGTAGCATTCCAAAAAATATTTATGGCAATAGGGTTGAGTATTTCTCCCTTTCTCCCCATCCCTGTTCCCCTCTACCCCCCGCCAAAAAAGAACTTAGTCCGAAGCCCTAGGGAGTAGTGTGAGTTTTCAGAAAAGACAAACTAGACCCGTCCTACTCACAAGGAAATGTTGGCTGGAAGTGAGGCCAGCACTTCAGTTAGTCCCTCTCCATTGCTTTCTGCAAAGAACAGCCATGCAAAAGGATCCAGACTGTGGTCAAGCACTGGTCACAGTAGTAAGACCTGACCTGCCTGCCTGCCGTGTTGCTTGCCTAGGTGTGTGGTGTGGGAGAGCCTATGGCATGCGTGCTGCCCGTGAAGGATTTTTTTTTTCTCTTGTGTTGCATGTGACATTATCTTTGAGAATCTACTTACGTTCAGGATCACTGGTTTCCTGCTCACTCTGCTCCTTGTTCTTGTAGAATGGGAACTTTCGTGAAAAGATGAAGCTCTTTTTACGCTTGTCATTGAATGACTGTGAAGGAGAAAAGGCATGGGGCAAAAACAGGGGACGTCTAATTGTTGTCACACTCATGCTGACAAAACAACTAGTCTGTAAAAGCAGAGAGAGCTGGAGTGACGCAAGTGGATACTCTGTAGAGGTGCTAGAAGGTTCTAAAGGCAGAATCTATTTTCTAGGAGTTTCCATTCTGAATAATGGAATTGCCTTATAATTTCAAGATTGCTTACAGTAGATGGATGGAGGGAAAGACTTTGTCCTGACTCTACAGCTTGTTAGGCCATTACCTTTTTGGACAGTAATGGTAACTCTGAACCATAATATCTTTCTCTACAGAAGAAGAATAAAGATGACAGTAGTTCGTAGATGATGAGACTCACATATGACAACAAAAACATCAAATACTAAACAAATTTCATTGTCAGGTAGCAACTCTTTCTCAGTGTCTAGGTGCCCTGTAAGGTTGCTTAGAAATTCTTACTTCAGTTTGAGTTTAATCAAAGATGTACAGAGTAGCATGAAGATTTATGATATGTGATCATTATAGTATGACATTCTTATTTGAATGACAATTTACCCTGGCACCATCATTTTATATACCAGGAGTCCGGAGGGCAGAGAGATTGAGTCCCATGCAAATATAAGGAACTAGTTGGTGACAGCCACTAGTCTATATTAAGATAAAACAGAAATGGCTGCCTTCAAAAATTACGTATATAAATATATAGATATATACACACACACATATATATATATACACACAAATACCAATCCATTAGCTTAAAGAAGCTAAATTAAAAATAATACATAGGATAGTTTAGATGTAATCATTCATATCATGTGGCTTATCTAGAATACCTTACCTTAGGAAAATTTCATTTATTTTCCTATTACTGTTATTATGTGAATGTTTTGTGGGTTCATAGTCATTTAACAAGTTATATAGACGATACAAATCTTATTAATTTCATATTCATCATTTAAAAATGTTTTGCAGACTTGATTACTATCATCATTTGACTGAGAGTTATTGGAAAAAGTTAAAATAATTCCCTGAGGAACAAGGTGTAGTATCCATACATTTAAAAGTCAGTGTGCCTAAGTTGTAAATATAATTTATAAAAGGGGTATTCTTAAAAAGAAAACCTTTTAGTAATGGCAGCTGGTAGGAATTAATGTAGAGCCAGCAAGGTGACTACTTGGAAGGAGTGTTTGTTGACTGCCTATGTTGGGACTTAGTCCAATGTCCTGATGGATTTGAAGTCCAATTAGATGGCACAAAAAACTTCTATATTTAGGAAATATTAAAATAATATGTGTTAATGCTGTCATTCAGAAAGTTAGGAACTGCCACTTCAACTTAGTGGACTTTAATTAGAAGACTATGAAAAAGAATAAATCTAATATTTTATGACTGCAGTGGACACATCTTCTGTTTCATATTAAAAATATATTCTCAGGGGAAAAAGAAGTACAAATTCAGGATTTATGCCTCTGCTGACAGCACAGTTCAGCATAGTTTCATCATCGTTTGTAACACTTCAGATTGACCTCCAGAAAAATGGTTGGGAACTATCCTTAAATTGTCCCAGTTAAAAATAATCATCCTTAAAGGAACATTAAGTATTTTTTGCAGCACTCCAGTTTCATGCTACTTTTACATTGGAAGCATATTTAAGTTTCAGTAACTGAAAAATAAAAGAAAAATACCATGTAAGAATTAATGGCATGTGATATTTGTAAGGTATGTTAGACATTTATCTTCAACATTACAGATGACCTCATGCAAAAAATTATGGATTTTCATGCAAGTACAAAACAACAATGCCAAGAGGAGAAAAGCCTGGTGGGAAAACATACACACAGATGGATTAGGTGGAGACTTATGGGGCTGCATGCAATGGGCATCATTTCAATTGTCTCAAGGGTCAGAGGAAAATGAAACGGTGTTGTCTCTGATCACTTTTTTTTATGTCTCAAAGCAAGGAATGTGCTCAGTACTGATACTTCCAAAGTTTGGAGATGTTATGTATCATTAGTCATCTGATTGGGGACATAATACTGAACACCTTTTATTTATAAAGGATACTTTATAAAGGACAGATAATACATAATTATAGGTCAGAAATAAAATGATCTAGCATAGTCTTATTAGCAAAAGCCATTTTGGTTGCACTTGCTGATATTTATGGACACAAAGCCAAATCACAACATCATTTCACATAAATTTACAAGTCACACACTTAAAGTCTTAAATATTTGAGCTGTAAAGGCTTCTATGTGTTTTCTAATGTGCTAATACTATATTTTTAATTACATATGTAATATTAAACTTTTGCTGCTGTAATTTTTTTAATGTAGGAAAGGAAAGTCTGTGACATGAACGCTAGGTGAGAATAATAAGTTAGCACTTTTGGCTTATTGTTCTATTCTTAATCATACTTGATTCATACTATTCTTTTTTCTATATTACAGCATCTTCAATCTCCACTTCTTGATTTCATGGCAGAAAGCTTTGAATAAAGACTTTGAAAACACCAATCACGTGTGGCATGGGGGTAAGCTGTTTTAGAATTTGACATAAATTACTGAGTTTTATGAGTAAAAGTGATAAAAACAATGGTTGACACTTATTAAGCATTTATGTGTCAAACTTAGTTCTAAAAGCATTGCATGTGTAAACTCCATGCTAACTTTATGAAGTTGCTTCTGTACTTGCTCAGGGTCACAGAGGTAGTGAGTACTGAAGTTGGGAATTGAATTCACTAGTATCTTTTATTCCAGAAATATTGCTGTTTTTGTGAGCTCAGAGCTTTCTGCAACCCAAACATGCTTCAAGTTCAGATTTAAAATTATTAGCATTTGACTCTTGTATGTGATGATACAATCTGTCCTACCTGAAATTTCACTGGCAATTACTTAAGCTATCAGTTGCTAGTGGATTTAGTAATATCTCTTTTGGGGTTCCTGCTATGATCTCTTAGATACTCATTCAGGTATTTGAGGACTTTATCTCATTTTTCTTGTTCTTATAATGTAAAAAAAAATAAAAAGAACATCAGTGGGATAGGTCACGAATGGCAAGCTAACAATGATTACATATGACAGGTAAATCTACAGAGAAAAGTAGGTTAGTGATTGCTTATGGTTGGGATCATACAGAGAGTGGGAAGTGACAGCTCATGGGTATGGGGTTTCTTTTAGGATAAATTGTTCTAAAATTGGATTGTGGTGATGGTTGTATAATCCTGTGAATATGCTAAGAAAATGTTGAATTCTATACTTTAAGTGAATATGATTCTATGCGAGTTATATCTGTGAGTTATATAGTTTCAATAAGACCATTTAAAAAGCAAGCTTTCCCCAACCCATACCAACAGAAGAAATGAAACAATTGCTTTAGGTTTCTCATTGTACTTGAATGCTCTCCGACTCTTGCTATCAATCAGATGTACATGTCTTTTGTGGATCTGATTCTGTCTTGTGTCAGTTAAGTGAACATTTCATGTTGTGACAGACATTAGTCAGTATCTTATCACTGTCTTTCACATATACTGCTCTTGCTCCCTCCATGATTAGGTCAAATGACATACAATTTGACATCTGATTCTACAGATACAATGCATTGATGAGATGGTTTAAATACCTGCTTCACAAAGACAGTAAAGAAAACAAAATTCTCACACCATTTCTTCTCCCTCTTACCCCCAAATTCTGTGTTCTTAAAGACATGAGTGAATCATGAAATTTTTTCTTTTTCTAGAAAACTTGAAAAAAAAAACGTGTAGGGATATGTTTCAGTTTTCCTTGTCATCTGCTTGCTCTACTTTTTCAAGCTTCAAGTGTTTCATAGTTCTAAAATGTCACCTTCGTGATAAGAACGTTCTCTGGGGTGGATTTAGGTTTAAATTTATATTGAGCTCAGATATATGTTTTGTGCAGCCTCCTGAATTTTCCTGAATACTTCTATTTTCTTGTGTTTTTTTTTTTGGGGGGGGGAAGTTATTACTATAAATTTGCTGTATTCTTAGCACA